TCTGTAGCAGCCTGACCCAGAGTAACTCGGAGGCAAAAGCAAGCGCAGCCATAATCCTTCCTCCCCATGGCATGAGTTTACTCATGATGTTCTCTTGATCTGACCTTTCCACAACGGTGACAGCTATTGCTGAGGATAACTGTAGCCAGGGGAAACCAGATCCTCAGCAGCATTCAGTCTGCAATCCTACCAAGGTAATGAGATTTTTAGAAGATAAATTCTAAGGTTTTTTTTATTACACTGTGGAAGCATGTTCAATTTTAATATTTGTCAACGTGTGTGAATGCTGTAAACAACCATAATTTGTTTATAGTGCAGATGACAGAAATTTCAGCCCGAATTTGTGTAGAACAGACATAATTAATGAGTCGGAAAAAATGTGATCTTCTAGAAGTTTATTTTGAGACCTCCTTCACTCCTTCCCAGAACATAAAAAGTATTAAATCTTCATAGTCATACAAACAAAAACTTGATGAGATTTCAAGCTCCAGACCTGGTAATATTTTACCTCCTACATATAGCACATGACAATTGTCTACATTCCTTATGAACATTTTCCACTCCTGAATTAATAGAATTATTACCTGAATTATTATTATTTTCTCTGAATTACCAAGGTCTGGACCCAGCCATTAGCAGAGATCAGGTGTGATATATCTAAGGTGAACTCCAGCTGACAGTTCTTATTTTTTCAGCACCAGATATGTTGTTTCACTGGTAAAGGTGCACCTCATCGAACGAGTCCTTCCATCAAAAAGTATTTTATCTCACTGTGGAGAGTTTAAAGTGACAATCAAAATATAGTCAGAACTACCACATATTAGATTTTCAATTTATCAAAAGTCTGTTATTAATGCTTGCCTGTTCTTTAAAGAAAGATGCTTGTTTTATATGAAGATACATATCTCTGGTCATTTCAGACCAGAAAAATAATATGGAATGAAAGGCTGCCCTTAAATTTGAAAGAAATAACCCTAATTTCTTAATTTATACATAGCTTTTGTTATTTGCCATATAATGGTATTTATCTACTGTATATTATTAGCTAATTGTTGTGACACCTCTGTCAGGTAGATGTTTTAAAAAAGAAAGAGAAGAGATACACAATGTTTTGGGGAAAACTCCTCTAATTCATAATCCTGATGTGATATCCTCAGGTCTTTCTGGGAAGAATCCTGCGGTGGAATCCCAATTTCATGTTAAAGTAGGGCAGAAAACACTCTTTTCTCACAGAACATGCTTTAACATCCAACAAAATTCCAACAGAAGTGATATTACATGGATTACCGGTATCTTAAACACTGAAGAGAAACACATGTGAAAATACCCACTCTGTTAAAAAAAGCAAAAAAGCCAAGAACAAATTCTCAGGCTAATCTGTAACATCTGATGAGTCTCAGATACTAAACTGCAAAATACGTAATGCTGCAAGGAAGTAAAACTCACTGGCAAATCAGCCCAGAACACTTTAGGGAAAAACACATCCCCGAGGGAGAGGCACATCTCATGAGGAAAGTAACGTGGCAAAGTCCATAAAACAAGTTTAAATATAATCTTAATGCCAAGCCACAGCGCAAAAGCAAGGTATTAATTTTCTGTTAATGGCAAGGTCAGCTATAAATCTGTGACTGAAATCTGCAGGTAAGCCAACATTGCACAGCAGCAGCTGCTCACCATATGGAGCAGCGCTGGTGCAGAGGGGCAGGAAGGGCAGGAGAAGGATGGTGCTCCAGCCCACTCCGCCCTCCCTCCTGGCAGATTGATGGCCGGTTCGAATTTCATGCCAAAAGAGCTTTCCAGTGATGCTCAGAGAGGGAGAACAAGATTAAAAACGACATAAAGGAGGGGGCAGGTAGCTACTGATGTCTTAAGAGAAAGCCAGCAAGTTGTAGAGATACAGGAGGATAAAACCACTGTGCCAAGGAAAAGATGGGCTGTTCAAAAGGGAAGAATGGGCTGGCAGTGATGAGCGCTGAATATCATGAGATGAAGGCAAATGCAGGCTAAAGTGCAACTGCTTTAGGATTTTGTTTTCAATCATATTGTTAAAGAAAATGGGCTTTCAAAGCAAAGCACTTCATGGCTAGCATGTTCATCTGCCTTTACCCAGGATGTGTAAAGACCACAACGCCAGCATAAAGGAGACTTTAAATGTTACTGTAAAAGCCTTACTGAAGAAGAGTTCAAACTGCAAGTTACAGATCCTGAACCAAATTTTTCAAAGTTTGAGCATGGTGTTTTCAAATGTTTCTTATTACAATGTTTCTAAGGGGAAAGGGTTCTTTTTTCTCTATTATCAGTAATGCCAAGGCTAGTAAGAATGAATGCAAGTTGTGATGGATTCTCAAACTCAGAAATATCTGTCTCTGATGAGAAAACATTCATGAAATTCAACAAAATTCATGTAAACTCAGTTTACAGGCATTTAGGATGAACCAGTCACTCTCAGTTCCGCATTTCTAACCATATTAGGTCTCACACATACAGCCTTTCCATCATGAAAGAACCAACTGATTAAGACTCAGAGATGGCAAGCAGGAAGGAAGGTTACTTATTGAAGCAGAAGGAGCAGATGCCCCACCAAACAGCCTGGCCTTCTGCTGGGCAGAGATCTAAATGCAATCCAGAGACATTGAGAATAATCGGAGTGACTTCTGGAAAGGTACATTTTCTACAGAGCATTTCTTTGCTTCTGCTGAAACATGAAATATTAATGTCAACTCATTACATATCAGTGCATTTGTATACTCCCCCGTTATCAAGTGTCCAAATGAAAAGTCTGTTGTGAATAATTTACTCCTGAATCATCAGCCAGCTTTCTTCTGTGAAGCTACATCTTCCCTATTCACCAAATTCCATCTATGACTGACATTTTAGAAAATATATTCTCTGTTAAATTGCAGAAAGGTACCACTTTATGTGTATTTGATGTGCTACGAAACTTGAACTTTAGAACAGAGCTACCAATAAAGTAAAAATACATTTATAAAGACTATAAAACACGACAGTTTCAAATTTGTAGGTTGGATCCAGCATGCAACAACTACTTGTTCAACCTCCAGAAGAAATCTCTGCAACCACCTTTCTAGGAAGTCCCCAAACACATGTGGGGTTACCAAAACTCAGCCCACCACACGAGCGTGTAGCCTGATGCAGACTGCCTCAAGCAAAAGCTCTACAGCAGAGAACTTACTAAATCCAAAGCTAAAGACTATGTGAAACCACAGCTCTTTAAAATAAACATAGATTCTTACTCAAGTGGTGACAATGCTAATTGCTCCATGATTACATAATTATTTAAATTATTTAATTTGCACCAAGCGTCAGACTTGGTGACAGCTCACTGCTGTCCTCAGCGAAGGAGGCAAAAGTTGTGTTTGACGGCAGTTCAAAAAATGCATTCACACAAGCACTTCCCTTTGAAATATGAAGCTGCATTGCTCAAATAATTCATTTTGATTTTGTTGTGGGGCTCTTCTGTAAGAGAAATTACAGTATCTCGGAAATGTGCGTTCTTCCTCCACGTTCACACTCCCTCACTGTCACTGCACAGGGTGAAGGAAATATAAATGTACTTGCTCATTGCTCTTACTGTAACAATCCATTACTGGGGGAAAAACCAATTTCAAACCAAGAGTCACTAACAACATAATTCCCTTATGAAATGCAACAGCGATTCCGAGTTAAAGATGCGTTTTTTTAAAGAGCACAGGTATTTTTCCCATTTCCTCACTAATGTACTCAATGTACTCATTATAATGTACTCCCTGTAACTTTTTTTAAAACAGCTTTCTCCATATGGTACTAATAGAATATAACCATTTCCAATCTCAAGATTGTGAGCAGAAAACTCCACTTCTTTGGGGTTAGGAAAAAACCTAAAGCCACACACCATTATTGTATTGGTCACTGCAGAGATCCACGAGTGGAAGGCAGAGGGTCTGCACTCAGGAAGGATAAGCTTTCAGAGACTGTGAAGAAAAGTAAACTAACAGAATGACTACAACAATATATACTGTCTCTGCAGGATCCCAGTTTACTTGTATTTTATTGTATATTATTCTGGTCTTGGTCTAGCCAGGCAGTTTCGAGTCAATCATTCAGTATGCACAGGAACATCCCAGGTGTGTACATATATTGAGGTATTTCTAATTCAGGTACTCTTGCTATAAGCTACTCAAACATTATAAAATACAAGGAAACTTGCTAAATGTTAACTATCAGCATCAAAACACCCAAATTAGCTCATGGTGATTTGCAGTAGCAACTGCTAAGAAATGAGGTTTTAAAATTTAGTAACACATTGCAGAGGGAAAAGATACCAAATTGAAACACATTTCCTGTTAGAAAATGACAGCAAAATTGAAGATGGGAAGCTATGTCTTTAGCTGTACATTCATATGAACCATGAAGATTAAAAAAGATATGCGGTGTTCAGCACTGACAGATCTATATATATAGAGAGATATCTTTCAGGCAGATAAGGCCAGATTGCATAACGTGACAGGTAATAAAGACGTACTTCTCACATAAAAATAGGTCTTATGTAAAATAAAAATGAGTCTTTCCCCTCATTTGTTCTAAAATGTAAGGGATGTTTGATCTTCATAATTCAACTTTTCCAGCTTCTACACTACAGATATTACCTAATTTTAGTGTTTGATTAAAAAAAAAAGACTAATTGACTTCACAGTACATGGAATACAAACAGAATTACAAGATAATGTTTGATATCTACATCCTCTGATTTTTCAAGCTTAATGTAATTAAGAGAGCTGTCAATACATATATGAAGATATAAAAAAAGGGAAAAATTGCATTCACCACCCAGAATGTTTCTTTCTATGTAGAGATGGACCAGAATTTCAAGTACACTTAAAGGCCCAGTGGTGAAAAATAAACTGACTTGATTCGGATGCAGTGAATTCATCAACAGGTAAAATGTCTCAGCACTTACACAGTTACATCAGGGCTTTTATATTTTGCAAAAGAAAGCTTACCTGCCCATTTTTTCCCACTTCCATTTCAACTATGGCAACAGGAGTGTTTATCTGATCGATGTGTCTCAACTGTGACTTCAGATCCACTCGCCAGTTCATGTTTTTCAAGACATTATCCCAGCGGCTCTGATTGATCAGGCTCTCATGGATACTAGTTCGGTGGTTCTTCCAAAATTTTGCAATGACTGCAGCTTGATCTGATGTGATGCCACCTTGTTTTTTGGTTTGGGCGGTGAGGAAAGCTTCCAGCTGATTCAAATCCATGTCCGCTGAAGCAATTGACTGTAGGGAAAATAAAAGGAGCAAAAGGGAAAAGCTTGCTCAAAACCACTCCTTAACCGTCTACCAAAAGGTCAGATCTTTAGGGTCTGACAAATATTGGATCTTAAAGGGGTAGTACAAACAAATCTGGGTTATGCAAATAACCCGACAACTTTCATTAAAACTAAATTTGCAAGTGTTCTACTACTTATCCCAGATTCCTGCCCCAAAACAGCTGGAGGGCAGTGGAACAGTAACAGCCATGAGGGAACTGGGAGAGCCTTTGGGAATGCAATACTGGTACAGGATAGCAAGGAGGCTTCTCACTGTCTGCCTGGCCCTTTCCTCACTGTGCCCTAGGCATACCCACGCTGCAGCAGTAATGCAGGCTCTGCAGCACCACGAGCACGAGTCTTTCCAGGGAAAGTCCATGTGCATGGAAAAACGCAAAACTGCATTTTTTCATCTATATTAATCTATATATAAGGCCGAAAAAAAGCCTTTAAAATGCAACTGCAGCTTCTTCTGGAGTGTTGGTGGACTTTGTTAAGGATAAACACTTGTGTTTTGCAATGGAGTGGATGGGGTCATTTACTCTCCCCCCTGTGCAGCAACAGAAACTATTATTCTTCCTAAACCCCCTTTTTATATAGATATCCAGTTTTTCTATCTATTTTGCCTGGTAATCCCACAGCCTTATATTTGCATTGCCTAAGTGGCAATGGTTGCTACATATGGCCATGAAGGGAGGGGAAGTCAGGAGGTGGAGAGAGGGAAGTGTGGTTAAGTTTCCTCACTGTAGTTTCAAGTAAACGCTTTTGCTTAATTTTCCACACCAAACAGATGCAGCTTATCCAAAATGAACACATCACCTCCAAGCACGTGCTGATATGGAGCACAGCAAGGTGAAGTGCGGCCAGTCCTTGGGATTTGCCTCGATTTAATCCTCCTTGACATGGTATTGCTGCTGCTGAATTCTCCTCCGTGAATTCGGGGAAGTAACGTGAGCCAAGGGGGTGACATCAGGTGGCTTTTGGCCGGACACACACTCTGTGCTCTCACACTGCTCGTCTGCAAAACCTGGGCAGTGCTTATCTGAAAACTGAAGCAGTTGTAGTGGTTTTTTTAAAAGGGATGAGCTGCCTTGCCTTGCTTTCACAATAGATTAGCTGCCATCTGGTACGTGACTGAGAAAAGAAATGGCAATCAACAGTAGAAGTAAACCCTCAGCTGTATCAAGGTTCCAGCTTCATAGGAGCATCCGTGATTTTATTATAAAATTTGAGGTGGCTTGTGCACTGTTTTGTCTTTTCTAGAGGGCACTTGACATATCAGTACATAGCATTTGCTTTATACTGAAAATATTTAACCTAACAGGTAATTATCCTGTACTAACTAATTATGCTGTAAATGAAAAAAGCACTTCTTTTCACTTTCAAAAGAAAAGCTATTTAGACTTACAGTCCTTTCCTACATCCACGCCTTACAGGAACAGGACTGTCTATTAACAGCAGTGTGGAATATTTCTGGCTTAACACTCTTCACATCACTACATCCGTGTGGGGATCTGTTTGCGTGTTGTGTGACACCAACTGCTGCTTGTGTACATCTTTTGTGTTGGTTTAGGTGAACGGGGGGAGGAGTGGAGGTGAATCAACAAGCACAGAGCCCAGCACCTTATGTAAGCCCTGCCAAGATCAAGCTGAGATGCAGACTTTCTTCTCAGTTCAGCTGTGCAGAAAATTGCCTTCTGTTTTATTCCTGTGCAGAAACCAAGAACATAAACTGTGTCCTCTGCACTGAATGATGCAAAGCTACCAGGGAGAAACAGCTTATTTGCATTAAATACGAACCTAATGCAGATTCATGGTCATACCAAGTAACCCTTTTCTAGACTTGATTTTATAACCTTTAAGTATTTCACATTTGTAATTCTTTTGGATTCTTTTTAACCCACCCTCTTCACAACAACTCCTTTCGCAAGAAGCAGCAAGATTCCTGGCGATGCCTTAAGGTCCATCTGGTTTTCTGATTTTTCTAATTTTTATAAGTTTTATAAGTAGTTATATAGCAGAAGCAGATTTAGAAGCAGCAGCATTTCATTCCTTTACCCTTAACACAGAAGCTACATAGATTACCAACCCTCTAACCCCATTCTATACTCCCCACATCAATTCTACCCCTGGATTCCATTAGAACATGTTTAGTCTCACTCTAAGATAGGCCTGTTTTGTCTGGAGAATGCTTTTATCTTGGCCTAAACTGCAGAGTGCAGTCAAACTCTGGGTAACTATGTGCCCCCTGTACCCAGAAGAAGATGAAGATTGATGAAGAGAGGGTCCCAAAAAGCCCCCACCTCAATTCCCCAGGGCTGGGCCAGGGGTGGTTCAGGGCAAAAGCCACAGGGTGGGAAAACCTGGGATTGGACAGGCAGTATTATAAATTGTAACATCTGAGACACGGGGGACCCTTGCGTCTTGTAATCTTATGCCTCACAGGCACAAATTAAAACCCTTCCCTTATCTCACCTTCAAAACTAAATTGCCTCGGAGTTTTTTTCTCCCTGAATTTTCTTTTAGGCATCACTGGCAGTGCTCTGCTAAGCTGATAAAAAGCCACAGACACACAAACCTTATTGTGCTTGACATGTGATAGAAATCTGAATTTGAAGTGTATCCGAAAAGATGACCAAACTTGCAGTTTTAAAGCATAAAAAAGGTAAAACAATATTACTGGGGCTTATACAGGTCAGTTCAACCTGACTGTTTGGTGAAGATCATCAACAGATTGACAATTAGTTAAGATCTAGTGTGAGCTAAATTTAAAACCTCTGTCCCTTTATGCATTAAAAGCACCCTGATATAGTTTGCTACCAAAATACTGTCACATAAAACAGAGGAGGGAAACCATGTAAGATAATTAGTAATCACTTATATCTCTCCCTCTTGCACACGTCCACACAATGTGGATTTATACTGTACACACATAAGAAACTTGCTGTACACAGCTAAGAAACCAAAAGATAATAACCATAACTGTATTTTGGTGGAATATGTATCAGATAATGCATACTTTAAATAATATGTTCTTGTAGTCCATAGTTCAGGGTTAGAATCTCTCTCTTCTTGGAAGTATGACTACTACTTAAAAAATCCTTTAAGAAAAATTAACTGAAAGTGGGTACAAACAATCAGTAAGTTATACTTTGATACAGCTGCATGAAGACACTAATGAAGATATATTTTCTTTGAAATTCCTCAATGAAACCCACCAGCTGTAATGGTTTTCAAGTCACATAAGAACAGTAACTAATTTTAATATTCTTTTTCATCTTAACTTGGAAACATTTCACTGTGGACAAAGAATGAGAGAACAATTAAAGTCTTTGCTGATCTTTATGGCATGAACACTTATATAATTCATTTTTTATAATGTGTAGTTCTACTCTATTGCTTATATGAAGGGCTTTTTTTAAGTTTGAGGAAATCTTTTAATTTAACTTGACAAAAATTGTATTTCCAGTCATACTCTGTATAGCATTACAAACAGTTCTTTCTATTACTTTTAACAATGCTCATTTTTTACACAGAATATCAAATTACAGTGAATACATCTCATTGATATTTCTAAGGATTAATTTAAAGTTAGAACACGAGTGGTTCTTCTGTGCTTGTAATTAGAGACAGATAAAATATATCTGATTATAAATCTCCCTCTTATGCTATTAAGCCCTAGGAGCTTCAGAGGAGCATTTATCACTACCAGGACAATGACCAGCTGTTGTCCAGCTCCCATTGCCACGGTAAAGATTGTTTTATTGCTGGAAGTAAACAGCACGTGCACAGTCCAGCATTACAACTGGAAAATTCTCAGTACTTAAAAGTGTTGAAACCTGTTTCATCCATCTGCTCCTCCAGCTGAATCACTGTCAGCATTGGTTCTAGAGGGATGCATCTTATTGATGCCAATTACTTAGTCCAGACAGACCTTAAAGTGCAGAATCTGCTGCTGTACTGTGAGTCACTGTACTGTTAGTGACACAGGTCACTGTATTATAAAGACTTTATATTCTGAGCTAAGTGTATGTACACGGAGATCCTGCCTCAGTTGCTTCCCACCTTCTCTCTTCAGCGGTCTCCACTGAGCACTTCTGCAATATATTATCACAGTCCCCTTTTTATTTACAGATTGTCTCATCCCTATGCAGTTCTACAACATGTCAAGAAACACTGTGTTAGAAGTATGACCCCGAGAGAAAAAAGTTATATAGGACTTAATTCCAATTTTTATTGGTAATCACAAGTAATCTACCATTTCAGCACAGAAATCCTACCCTCAGCAACTGGCAATCCCTTTCTTTCCAGATGATTTTTAACAGAGGAAAGAGTTTTGGTCATACTGAATTCTCCTTGTGTTCACCTTCAACACATACCCACCATATCTCCAAATATAATTCAGCCAACAAAAATATGACTTCAAATACTATTTCCTTCATGAAACAATATTTGACAATCTGGAGAGTTTTGTATTAGCTTAATTAGACCCACTAGACATGTGCCTTGGTACACAGAACAGGAAAACAGACGTAAATTCATTATCTCTTCTGAGAAATAAAACCCGACAAGCACGCAATACTAGGGAGAAACAAGAACTGGTGAAACACACTGGGGAAAAAAGAACACAGAAAGAAAACATTACTGGTCAACCATCACAGAAGAGCTCCAAGAGCTGGACATGCCATCATGTGTAGGCATTTCCACCACCTGACTCTCAAAATTGCAGGCTGCTGCCAGCCTGTAGCACAAAGGTCAGGAAAACAAACAATTCAGTGCCATGTACCATATTACTAAACTTGCCTCTTCAGGTTTCTGGGAGGTGGGGGTAAGAGGCTTCTCCTGTACCACAATCCTTGTAATTCATATGCTTTTAGAAATGTAACCTTGAAATCCCAGGAACACATGCAGGGAGAGGGGGAACCAGCTGCAGACAGGAGGAACACGCCAAGGAACCCCGCTCAGCCA